CCACGATGACCGACTGCATCATCAACATCGCCGACAACAAGCACCGCTTTGTGGTGGGCCAGACGCTGACCGGCACCGTCGACCTGACCGTGCCCGAGGATGTGCCCCTCTCTGCAGTGCAGCTCTCCTTTCACTGCATGGGCGAGGTGAAGTGGATCGAGTACCCCGGCACGCCCTACTACCTCAACGGCTTCGTCTACTACGACAAGTACAGCTACCTGGACAAGGAGGTGCCCGTCGAAACGGAGCTGAAGCTCATCCCCAAGGACAAGCCCACGTCGATTCCCTTTTCTTTTGTCATTCCCAAGGAGTAAGTGTTGCTGCTGCTGGCAACTTAAAAACGCTTAGTTTACCAACTGTTTACTTTTTTTACCAGGAAGGGGCTGCCATCGACGATGATCAGCACTCACGGATTCATTCAGTACTTTGTCAAGGTGGCCGTCCGCGTTGGCGAGGAGGTGAAGAAGTTCGTCAAGGAGGTCATCATCGAGTCGCCCATTGAGGAGAATTTGATGGTAAGTGTTGTGGGAAACAGTCATTACGGCGCTAATGGTCACTTTCACTTCCAATTTCTTTTTCATTCGCACCAGATCACCGTCGGCTCGACTGCGGAGAAGAACGTCCTGCTGCACGCGGGCAAGGTGAACATGCACGCCTCGATCAGCCGCAAGGGCTTCGCTCCGGGGGAGAACATCTCGGTGCACGTTCACGTGGACAATGCCAGCAATGCGGCGGTGAAGCCCCGCATCAGCCTCCACCAGGTGCAGATCTACATGTGCGGCAGTCGCCACAAGACCATCGAGACGACTCTCTCCGACGACCCGGTCACCGGAACCGAGGTGGGCGCTCACGCTAAGGCCGATGAGGTGCTCCACGTGAAGGTGCCCGCCGACGAGTCGCTCACCATCAAGAGCTCCGTCATCACCGTCAAGTACTTTGTCCACGTGGTAAGTGCTCGATTTTAGAACAACTTGAGTTTGGGCATGTCGTTATAATGATAATTTTTACAATTGTAGACTCTGGATATTCCGCACTCGGTGGACCTGCACATCAACCTCCCGGTGGTGCTCACCTCTTCGGCGGTGCTCGAGGAGCTGCGCAACAAGGACGGCCGACTGGCTGAAGTCACCCACTAGAAGTTTGCTCCTTCTTTTACTCGCCAGCATTTACATCGCCTCTGCAGCAACCTTTTCATCATTGGCCCTATCAGATTTGACCTTTTCTCTATTATTTCTTTCCAATTTTTCTCCTCTTCTTTTTATTCTTTCCTTCTTTCCTGTGCACCAAACACGTACGCACACACGCATACCAACACAAAAGCACTGAATTTTCATTGTTCCAAGTGCAAACGGTGCTGTCAAGCAAGTGAAGCAGACGAAGCAATTTGCCTGGATTAGCAGCAGAAGAAGACCCTAGAGAAGATTGCACCCAAAAGGAACGGAAGCACGCAGCTAACTTTTTTCTTCTTTCTCCTGTCTCTTCTCTTCTGTCTTGACTTTCTCAAAAGGCAGCTTTCTGATATCGTTGTTATCGCTTCCATTTTATAAAGTCTGCACATTTTAAGCATTAAAATCGCTCTCTCTTTCTCCCCTGTCTCAATGGCGTCTCGATGCATTGAGGCGAGTCACCATCATCGTCATCATCATAGTCGTCGTTGGCAACTGACAATGCTGTGCTGTGCTGTGTTTGCCACTGGCACAAGTTATCTCTCCTTCTCGTTTGTCCGTTGACTGTTGGCAGACCACTTTTTTACCAGCCCACCGACTATACAGCTACGTCAAAAGTCAGACACTGTTCGCAATTTGTTTTTATCATATTACTACATTACAAAAATAGTCCAATCTTCCATTAGCTGCTTGTTTTGTTGTCCGTCTTGCTGATAAACACCACCACCGCCACCCCATTTTGATAATGAAGGGGACAAACAGCAAATCAATCGCTGCTTATGTACATCTTTGCTTGGGCAACAACACTTCTACTTTGATTGCTGCTGTTTGCTGGGCGACTTGCT